TGACTAGATCCTTCCCAGGCGATTGTCAAGAAGTAGAAAATCATCAACATATCGAAACACTTTTTCACATGCGTTCCAAGTGTATGTTCAATGGAACAATCAACTCTGGCAAGAACATCACTGACGACTCGCGCTAGTGATAACCCTATGCATACTCCAGAGCTTTGGAGAAAAACTTGGTTATGCTATCCTATGAACCATTCGATTCTGGGGGTTTTATTCCATGAAAATCTATCATGGACGCCACATATTGATTCTTTGAGAACAAGTCTTTGTCGAGCTGTTGGTGTCTTAAATAGATTAAGATATTATCTTCCAACAAAAGTGAAACGTCAAATTTATTTCGCTCTTGTGCAATCCCGCATAAGTTACTGCCTTTTAGTGTGGTCAACGACATCCCAAACAAATCTAGACAATATTGTATCCATACAAAAGCGAGCATTGCGAGCAATTGGTAACATACAACTTCTTAAAAGTGCCACGCCATATTTTAGGACATATCAAACACTCAACGTAAGAAATCTACATCAATATAAACTATCACTTGAAATTTGGCGGCAATTTCAGCTCGATAAATTGGTGTTCTATGTTACGTACCACGCGAAAGATAGCCCGTATAATTTAAGGCGTCATTTATTAATAAAATCGCGTTCGCGAACGAATTATGGAGACCAGAGGTTGAGTTTTTTGATACCAGACTATTTAAACCAATACCCATATATTTTAGCTTCATTGGAGTGCGTACGATCACTCTATCAATATAAAAATATTGTAAAAGAATACTTACTCACAGGGGAATAAAACCGTATGTGTTTTAAGCAAAATGCTTGGAATGATAAGTAGAAATTGTCCTTTCACGCCATGTTTTGTGATGTATTTGTTTTGTTTTGTATAGATTTTTAGTTTGGAGTGAAATTGTGTCATTCCTCATTTATTTGTTTTTGCTACCGTTGCTGCCAAAAGGGTGGCATGGCCCCGTCAGGCATTTATGCCTTTTGCCATGTCACCTGGGACATCTCTGTACAGTTATGTCTTAAATAAAAAGTTATCAATCAATCAAAAACGTAGAATAGATATAAATTAGAAGTACTTCTAGAAAGCACTCAGTAGAAACACCGCTCGAGTTTTGGAAGGAGAGTTCATTGTTGTCCAATACATAATTTTACAAAGTCAAGTAAAATTTCGTTGGGGAGTGAATGAAAAAGATCTTGAACATCAATACTAAAGGAACTATGGCTGCCCTACTGATCTGCCTTCAAAGCTCCCACGACTTCCTCTGAATTCCGAACCAAGAAAGGGTTTTTGAGTCACAGATCTGACAGGTGTTTCTGTAAATACGCTGATACTTGTCGCTGTTAGCCAAACACGCCAAAGTTTGGCTAACAACATTATCCCCCTCCGTTCCTACCAAGTACGCTTACATGACTTCTCGTGCATTTTTGTCACCCCCTTTCTTTACAATCGTAAAGTCTTCGAAATTCGGCTGACACGTGCAAGTGGGACAGTGGAAAGGCAGATGTCCTTCCGTTGTTGAGCGCAGCGACAGGGCATGTTCGCGCGCACCGTCGGTGACGCATCGGCCAGTTTGGCCGATGTATACCCGATCGCAGCCCAAAGGGTTTCGGTGCACCACACCTACCACACAATCAACATACTTATTTCTGTGTTTTACAGAACACTTGTTTGCTCTCTCCGTCAGCCACTCCGGGCAAAGTTGCGACTACTTACTATGCGCCGAAAAGACGACCGGCACGTCGTACCGCCCCGCTATCTTTTTCATATTGTGAGACATTTTATGCATATAAAGGATCACTTGTGGTCTTTCGTTCGGTCTTTTCTTGTGTTGATGGGGTTCTATTTTTAACTTGCTTAATAATTTCTCCGCCACCCCAGCAAAACACACGCTGGGAAGCCGCGGCCCCAAGCCGCTCCACCTGCCTGCCAAAGCTCTCCTGTAGCGTATGGGGGCACGACCTCTCAAGAGCAGCCTGCATGCACGATGACAATATTCCAATTTCACGGGCCTCGAGTAAGCGGAGTCGTAAGGCAAGAGCCCTTTCTTTGTGCGTGGGTAGTAGAGCCAACACACGTGATCCTCGGTAAACTTCAATTTGAGATCTAGGAATTGTAAGCGCATGCTTCGTGATGGCATGTACATACAATTTCTAGATCTCAAATTGAAGTTTACCGGGAATCACGTGTGTTGGCTCTACTACCCACGCACAAAGAAAGGGCTCTTGCCTTACGACTCCGCCCACTCGAAGCTCGTTAAAAGGGGAATAGCGTCATCGTGCATGCAGGCTGCTCTAGAGAAGTCGTGTCACCATACGCTACAGGAGAGCTTTGGCAGGCAGGTATAACGGTTTGGGGTCGCAGCCTTTCCAGAGGGTGGCGGAGAAATTACTAAGGAAGTTAAAAATGGGACTTCATCAACCCAAAGACAGACCGAACAAAACACAACACGTGATCCCTTATATGCATAAAATATCTCACAATATGAAAAAGATAGCGGGGCGGTACGACGTGCCGGTCGTCTTTTCGGTGCCTAATAAGTTGTCGCAACCTTGCCCTAGAGTGGCCGACAGAGGAAGCAAAGGTAACGAGTGTTCTGTAAAAAACATAAATAAGTATGTTGATTGTGTAGTAGGAGTGGTGTACCGAATCTTTTTGAGCTGCGGTAGGGTATACATCGGCCAAAGTGGCCGATGCGTCGACCATGCGCGCGAACATGCCCTGTCGCTGCGCTCAACAACGGGAGGACATCAGCCTTTCCACTGTGCCACTTGCACGTGTCAGCCGAATCTTGAAAATATTACGATTGTGGAGAAAGAGGGTAACATAACTGCACGAGAACTGCTGGAAGCGAACTTGATAGGAAAGATGGGAGATAATTGTGTTAGTGAAACTTCGATGTATTTACATAAAAAAGAAATAGCTTATCTTTAGCGTTGATGGTGGTTGTTTACTTGGGTGTGTTCTTTTCATCAAACGTCCAGTTGAAGTTCAGCGCTCGGCTTGTGCCTTCCTCCCTTAGTCCTTCTGTTTTTGCGCGCTGCTACCAGTTGTAAGCACAAAGCTCTATCAGTGCGAGCTTCGTCTGCTAGGCTATTACGTTGACCGCACGCAACCCCCGCTTCTTATCTGCTGGCAGAGTTAACGGCTTTTAGGCAAGGATCTGAACAGCGCTTGCTTGCGTGATATCGCTCACGCGTAGCATAAACCGCGCCTCATTGCGCCCCTGTTTATGCCGCGCAAGACGAGTATCACGCCAGCGCGCGCTCTTCAGATATTTGCTCTACCAGTAGATAAGAGAGAGAGAGAGAATGGGGACTTGGATGAACATTAATGTCAATCAGCGCCCTGCGCTCCTTTGTTACGGAGCAGGGGTTCTGTGCGGTCAACGGAATAACCTAGCAGACGACGCTCGCACCGGAAAGAGCTTTGTGCGCAGGCGCGTAATCTCTCCCGTATCGCCGCACCTCCCATGGCACGGCGCTGGCCGGCCCGGCGGTCGATGCTCGCTTGATAGTATTAAAAACTTGAGCCACTGTACCTTGGCGGAGGGAAACTTTCCAGCGGAAAAAAAAAAAGACGGACAGAACCGGATCGCTGCACGTCACATGTCGGAGAAGTGTCGCTTTATGCGTTCTTGAACTGTCCTGCTTGGAAAGCCCTTTACAGGTTATGCACTGTAAAAGGCGAAACGTCCAAACGTTCCACGGGATATTCGCTGTATTTATCCGAAACTCGAACCGGGAACGGATGCGACGGGGCAAGCTATTATTTCGCATCTCCGCAGGCGGCATCGGCCTCCCGCACTCTTTTATCCTCCAGGTTTTTATTTTCGAGGTATCAAGAGGTTTCACCCATTCAGAAGTTGATTCGGAATACATTGCCATCCTGCCTTTCCATGTTTTTGGTTTCATCGGCTGGAGACCAGACCCACGGTTAGCGGGGTACCTTAAAGAAGTTGTTGATGCTTTTCCATTTTTAGCAGCCCATTTTTTTTAGGAATTACCTTGGAACTGTTTCAAATCCTTGTAGGCGTCCTCTTCCCAATACCAATTTATCGTACAATGGTCAGCAAAAGCCCATCTCAAGACGTGTGATGTCGCGTTAAAAAGTATGTGCGACCCCCAGCGGACAAAACCTTCTTTTTTCAAGTTGAATTGTTGCATCTTACCGACAAAAGTGTGGCTGAACGAAAAAGCATTTTTTTCATAGGAAACCAACGGTTTACTCTGCAAGTTGCGGAAACTACCGAGCATTTTTTTATCGAACGCTGGGATGCAGTCTTTTACTAGACGTTCTGCAGCGCACGTTGAAAAAGTATCTTACTATTTCACGAGAGTCGATACCTCTTCTGCCGATCTTGTCAAGTGACACTGAAACCTCATCATGGTCGTGGATTTATATAGTATACGAAAAGCACGAATGGATGTCCGAAATCTTCTGCCAGCACCAAAATCTGTGCTCTTTATTTTATTCAGTGTGTAGCACAAATCAAAAGCTACTATGAGTGTCAAAAAAATTGTGCCTGACTGGTTCCCATTGTTGAACAGTTTAGTAAACAGAAGAGAATTTCGAGACTATGGTTAACGGGAGTAATGTGTGATATGTTGCCAAATTCTTTTTCAAGGATTTGGCAACATCAACAACGGACACCTTACGGCCTACTAAACAAACTAATACATCAACAACATCAACAGCCACAACATCATTAACAACTATACTTCAACAACGGATGTCATTTACTGTGTTGAAAAGAGCTGATAACAGCTATCGCTCTGAAAAAGAGCCTGTCAAAGAGTGGAATTAAGCGCAATTCAATGGTTTAACGTCACTGATCACTACCCCAGGATTGCCATTAAGCAAGCATCAAGATTGAGGCCTCTCCATAACGCATACCAACTCTATAACACAGAATAAAAGTATAAGGTGCATATAGTTAAAACCGGAGACAACGGAAATAGAGGGACAGAAAAAGTCGGAATAGTTACTCTTGCAAGGGCGGAGGTTATGGGACACGCCACGTTGACAGTGGTCGGGTGTGCCATCACCGCTACGTCCGCGCCGTCGAAGGCTCCTTTTTCCAACAGGTAGACCTTTCCCTGGCCGCCTTCTTCGGCCGGGGTGCCAAGAACCACCACCTGGATGCATGGACACGCTCTAATAAAAGGTACGTAGGAAGATACGTTCTTCCCCTAAAGAATCTTGCACTCTGCTTAAAAAATTTGGCTTCCACAATCTTAGATTATTTTAGCCAAACCTCTTTCACGGCTGAAGTATTGAGCAGGAAGGTGGTCACTGTCAAATATTATCTTACTGACAAACGCTATGGGGAGGTGTCGACAAATGCCTTTTCATATCCGGTAAGGCCTCTGCGGCGATCCTTGTGGACATTTCGAAAAGTTTCCATTTAAACATTCAGTTCTTGTGGTCTTTTGTGGTGTTTTAAAACGCAGAAGCACTTCGGGAGACGCTTTTGAGAATCCAACGAAAATAACTATAATTGAGGACGCATCTGAATCATAGATCAGTGCTTAAACCATTTTTTTACTTCTGGGCCACCCCGATTCCATCGTCCGAGGTCAGTTTCAAATTCTAAGAACCTAATTCTGGACCATCGGCTCATCTCAAGTTCTAGTATAGACCGATATAAAGGCTATGAACAACACTTGAAATTAAAACATCATTCATCATTGATTCCATTATTGATTACGGTGGATAGCAGGTTACATGCACAAAGTTATAATCTACTCAGGCAACACACAGTATTGCCTCGATTTTGGCATCAAATCAGATTGTCCTGATACCATTTTTGATCCAGACGATATCTGTGAAGTTTCGGATGGGTGGCGCCGACGTTATGCTGACATACCGTACCCGCTGCTGTTTTTTGTTGCATCACGCGAGTGTCGTTTAACCCAATACCAACGATGAAAAAAAAAACAAGATTAAGCAAAACGACATTCGCCTACATTTAGCCCGAGAAAGGCAGACAAAAATGCAGAAAGAGTTTAGCTACACTGCACATTTCCCCTCGACCTCACCTTTTCTTAAGCCTCCCCTTCTTCTTTTGTGTCATAATTAATATTTAAAAATCTTCAGACAAGAAATGAAAAGGACATACACTCCACCGTCTCACAACTGACGTCACATTACTGCGGTGGCACTGCTGTCGGTACTGCGCATCCGCAGACGCTTCACTCCTCCCGAATTTGGTTTCTGCGTAGTGCCCACTGCCCACACCTGGTGTGGGTAAAGCGGGATCGCGTGGAAACTCTGCATTGGTGTATGCTGACAAAGCCTGGCGGATCGTCACGTGACGCGGCCGCCGAAAGTGAAAAGGTAGAGCGGCAGACAAGAGTCATGGTATGGGCGCCCCGCTGCGGCGAGAAGCCGAAACACACTTGTCCTGAGCGATGGAATATCCGCTCGCGCTTCTCGCTTTCCTCGGGCTACCGTTTCTTTCCTCGTCGGGTTTGAAAACCATGTTTCGAGTCCTCGCCGCTGCAAAAGCTGTGCGCTGAATGCCGGACTCCCCGAGAAATGCTCCGTGCTACCAAATCCTCGGGATCCAAATCTGCGACCGGGAACTTTATGACTCCGTCATCGAACTGCCATGCTTTGTGAGTATAGAGGAGGCTTGGCACAGCATAGAGCTGTCATCTACTTCCACAACAATCTTTTTCTTTGACAACTTTCGTGCAAATTATACGCACTCAACAGCAGGTACACTAAGAAAGTATCGAGCAAACGAACAAAGTCTTCTTTCTTGTATTTTTTTTAGTCGTCTTCTTTCTTGCCTTTCAGTTAAACAATACATGTCTAACGGAAGGCACACACAAAATACCGAGAAACCATTAGCATTGAAAGCAGGCATAAATGTAGTTTTCAAATGTCAAATGATCGCAGAAGACAAATATTCAGAAAATACTTGAGTCACAACCTACTTGGCACTAAGCAGACAAAAACGCTATAAAGTCCTCGTCCAAAATCAAAAAGGGCATCATGATACAATTTCCGGCGCTAGTGATTCTAAGTGCGTCCTTAGTCCCCCACGTAAACTTATCTTTTTCTATACCAAGCACAGTCGTCTGCTTCCAATGTGAGTAACAATTTCCACATTCACACAGGTTGTTTCCAACTTCAAAACTGGCAGAAGAATGAATCGTTCTTTTATGCTCCAATATCCGGTCGTTCAGACAGCTGCCAATTTGATGCACATACGAGAGCCCACAGCCCATTGGTATCTAGTGTACTACTGCCATCGCTTGCCGCATCTTTATGTTTTTTTGGCAACCTCGCTTACCATCCCAAAAAGAAATTAGCCTACTTAGTTTGAAACAATTTTTAAATACACTGACTCGTACACTATGGCTTTCTGCCAACGCCCTCAGGTTGTGTGAAACGCCATAAAAGAATAGCACACATATCCACTTATCGGGCTTCTTCCTACGCTCTGGTTTTGCCGAAACTAATCAGTACCTATAGCAACACGCTTAATTGAACGCTCAAACTATACCCTGCTTCAACCAACTTCCACATTCGGAAGGAGATGCTTTCTTGAATTGTATGGGAAGAGGACCAATTTAAGTAACTTGGGAGGAGAGAGCATATACTACACCTTTGGTAGGCAACTTTGATAGGGCAGCACAGATTTCGGCGCAACTTTCCCTTAGCTCAACCACAATCCACGTGTTTGATAAACCATTAAATACAAAAACTAAAGATACTCAGCCATGTATATTTCACTGGTCAAGGCAAGCTCTGGGGCTTCCCCGTTTTTAAAGGATACCCAGCCGAGCACAACATGTCCTTAAAATACACAAATAAAAAATCGTCTACATAACGCATGATTATTACAAAGCTGGGTAAGGACTAGCTGTACGTACTTTTAAATCTGCAACTTGGTGTAAAGCAGCCACATAAGTTTCACAAAGTAACGGTGCCAAGGAGAATCTCTAACCTACACCTTGATTTTTGCCAAAAGTTTGCCATCATCCTTCACCGCTGTTGGCTTTAAAAAAAATCTCAAGCAATTCTATGAAACTTTAACCATCAATGTCAGGAGTAGCTTAGAATTTGACCAAATGGTCTTTTACGAACTGACTCAACCTGAAGGGAAGCAAAATTTGGTCCAACGTGTACTATAGATCTTTAATATCTAAGAATGGCTAAGCGGCTCATTTTACGCTAGTGATCTCCTTGATCATCGAATATAGCTCACATTTATTAAAAATAGCAATGACGTGTTCTTTAAGTATCTGAAAATTTGTACTACAAGGCTTGAACAAAGCACCCGAGGCCTTTTGAACGTTTTGCTTGGAGGAGGGAAGTGGTGGTACTGTAAACTTCTCTGCCTTGTCTTTTTTTAACAAACCTAGGTATTTCTGCTTTAACTCCAGTCTAACTTGCCTAACCTTTCAGAAGTCCTTTAAATCGAACCTGAAGGAGTCATCAACAGTTGTGAATAAGATATTAAAATCCTGGTATTAAAATAACGACTCTTTCTTCTCATTGCTAAATTTGCTTCTAAAGGCATGCACCGAGGAGAAAAGATCAAGTCTAGAGGGCTTGACATCTGGACAAAACTTTGGTTCATCAGCAACAAATACCGGGATGGGCTCAGCGAGAGAAACGTTAGTCAGGTTTGGAACAAATGGTTCAACTCGACTAAAAGGTTTCAGGTTATTGATGTCATCTTGCTTGGTTTCAGTCAAGGTTCTAGTAAACTATTCATCATGCAAAGTATTCTTTCGTGCTACTCATAAAGCTTTAAATGTTGGGATTTCAACGTTGTCAATGCACCATAGTCAAAGAAACTACTAAAATTATTGCTTCTATAAATTGCCCAAACGATTCTATACACCTGCTGTGCTTGCTTGAGATGTAACACCGCCAGATTTTTGTATGCATGGATGATCTTCTTTCGCATCCAGGCGAGGACACTAAAGCGGTATTGTAGGTTTACTTCCAAGTACGTTGCGACTCGGGTATTTCCTGAACGTTTTTTCTCCTGCGAGCATTTGACATTTTAAAACTGTCTTCTCTATTCGATGCTTATAAGTTCTTGGTGTTTTCTGTGTGCCTGAGCTCACGACATGTATTGTTTACCTGGCAGACAAGAAAGAAGACGACTGAGAAAAAGACTACAAGGAAAAAAACTTTGTTCATATGCTCGAGGCGTTCTTACTGTAGTGGGTTTTCCTGCTGTTGAGTGTGCATAATTTCGATGTAAGTTGACAAAGATGAAGACCCTTCTGGAAGTAAATGACAGCTGTATTCAGTGCTGATTTTGAGACGGTGGTGTGTATGTCCTTTTTGCTTTCTTGTCTCAAGATTTTTAATTTTGATTTATGATTGTTCACCAGCTCGACTGCGTTTTAACTCCTTCATTAGTTTCTTCGAGTGGCTCTGAGCGAGCGCGACGGTCGCTTCAAACAAGGCAGAGAGGTGACGAAAAACATTTGACCTCTCACCGTAGTACGCGTAGGACTAAAGCGCTCGAACATATTTTGTCACGTGACTCGCTCTGAAGCGTTGATGGTCTCACTGGGGCCGTGGTCTTCACCGTTTGCCAGGTTATGGTGATGGTAAGGGGGCCACGTTAATTGACGCCATGCCTTTAAAAGCACTAATTAAAAAGTTGGTTGCTAAGAAAATAATAAACAAATTATACCGAACGTCATTCATTTTCCGAGATAGGGCCTTGGGTAGACTCCAATACCCCATTAACCTCTTCTTGTGTGTGTATGGTGCGCAGCTCTCGCAGGAACGATTCGACCCGCGTTTGAAGAAACACCGCGTATACGGGTGCAACTCGCCGTCCCACCTAATATTTTTTTTAAGAAAGCAAGACTCTCACAAAATGAGACCGAGTCATACTGAGTCAAATAAAAATGCGTTTATCTTTTTATACTTTCACAGATAGAAGCAAGGCGGTCAAAACTGGGTTGGCTATGAGAGCGCAGCACACCACAAAGGTGTCAGTGAAAGACACCTATCAAAAGCCGGTCTTCCTCACATCCTAATAAATACGTAATATGCATTCTGAGAAGATTGAAAAGGAGCCAACTCCAAAATTCATTAAGGTCTGCTAAGAAACTTCGTTCCTTCAGCACCGACATTTTGACGTTGCCCAAAAACCCAGATGAAGAAATATTTCTAAAAGATTGCTACCTTCATTGCAAAAGTTGAAAATAGTGGCAAAATAATAAGACATGTTCTCACATTTCCCTCAAGTGACGAATCTTGCTGTAGCACTTCCTTAACAGCAATTCCAGCCGCCACGGAGCATTCGGCGATCAAGTTGTGTCCGCAGGCATGTCCAAGGTTTGGAAGGGCGTCGTACTCGCACATGATAACGGCCGTAGGTCCTTGCTCCGTGTTGCCTGCGTGTTAAAGTTGCTAAACGACTTTAAAAAAAAACAAAAAAAAAAAACATTGGCTCTCGCTCAAGAAAGAATGTACCATATGGGCTGTTACGGAAGAGCTTGGCCTCCCGCTGTGTCTGGTAGTGATGGGCTACCGTTTTTGGTTATGTCACATACAGGATCTGTGAGCTTTATAGTATGTTTTTAATAAAAAAAAGTTTTTAATATTAAAACTGATATGAATTTCGTAGGAAGTTCAAATACTTATTTAGTTTTGAAGCAGGAAAAGCACCTGCATATCAAGCACCGACCAAACGGGGAAAGAAAACAGACAAAGCTGAAGGTTGAGCTGAACATCTTGACACTTTCTTATTCTGCCAACATTTAATATTAAGAGCACTTTTCCGATAAAAGCACTCTGAAAATACTTAGCACTGCTTGCCACATATCTTCTTCATTATTACTTTTTGTCAATATTTGTCTCACATGACTAAATGCAATTTATAACGCTGCACATAGTTTACAAAAACCGGAGAGGACGGACGAGGAAGGCCAACACAAAACATCTCAAACGCGGCTACTAAACTTCATTGACACAACCGTTTATATACCACCTCTCGGACACACGTCTCCCGAAATTCGCACACGTCTTTATGACCATCGACCGCGGAAGAGAGCTCCTCTCGTACATAATGGTAAAGGCGGCACTTCAAAACTAAGCAACTACCCCGAAACACACCCTCGTGAATCCAACGGATTCATGAGGGTGCGTTTCAGGGTGGTTGCGCCCCCTCATGAATCCAACGGATTCATGAGGGGCCGCTTTGGTGAGGTTGATTTGTTTTGAAGTGTTGCCTGTACCATTGTTATGTACGAGAGGAGGTCCCACCACGGTTGAAGGTCGCAAAGAAGTGCGCGAATTCCGGAACACGTAGTCTTGCGTTTGTGAGGCATAAGGTTGTTGAGACTTGAGGCTTATTTATGCTAATTGTTTTACTCCCGAAATAGCGCTCGAGAATTCACGGTTTATAAATATGGGGAATTATATAAGCGGATCTCCACTTTGCCATTAGCGGTTCTCGAGACAGTTGATCGAGAGATAATTAAGCAACTGTTTTAGTGCAATCAAAATTGAGAATGTCCTGTCTGTATAATATTAATTCACCAGTAATGTAAGCCACCAACAGGCTATCGTAGAGCGAGCAAATACCACTAGAATTGTGTTTTTATTCGACTACCTAAGACTGAAAAAAGGATGATGTAATGTGCGCGGCTCAATGCGGCTTGGAATGTGCGCGTGCTAAGATCGTTCCGCAAGCTGAGCGTGTGCGGGTGAGACGACGGTGACAGTAAAAAGACGGGGTTCCAAGCAACGTTGGTTCGAACCGTTCGGAAGGCGGCACCATGGCGGAGGCAGCAGGGCGCGGAAGTGGAAGCCATTGGGTGACGGACCACAGCTGTCCCGACTTCTTTCAGGCGTCTGGCTCGTCCGAATCCCAAACGTCCACTGAAGTCTGTTGCGCGAGTTCCCGGGGTCCTCTCGAGACTATGGTGGCGCCGTCTCCCCGAACACGCCACCTCTCCTGCCCCAGTGGCACCGGCCTCACCCTCGGCACTACTTGACACGTCTGCACCACTTCAGCACCGAGGCACCAAAGACACCCAGTGGTCAGAAGGACGGCGAACTGAGAGTTTCCTGTGAACTATCGAGTTCGTTCCTGCCACCCTTTTCATATAAGTGCGTTGCTTCTCAAAGCATGATCATCGTGAGACCCACCAATTAGCTTCAATTTAACTAGTACATGTAGACTGAATATACTTCTGTACCAAGTGTTTTGCGTTTGTGTGCAGGAAAATGACCTCGCTTTCTTTGATACGGGAATCACAACCTGATAGTAACAAACTCACGCCCTCGAATTTCCAAATGACTATACAGTATATGTTTTATACACTCTATTGAAATTCTTATCTCATCTCTCACTTAAACGAAATAACCATTTAGTAAACGATTAGTGTATATCTGATTTATTAATACTACTGATTCTGTTATGGGAAATATACAAAGTTTAACAAAATGCGATATATATTTTCAACGAATTTAAATTGCACCGATACACTTAGCTATTGTTAAAATACATATATTATGCGTTACTTTTTTTGCTGCAAAATTTGTTCTAGCTCATTCGAAGGCGAGATACCTTTTGTGATGAAAGTGAAGTAACCTATGCGTTAACATTTTAAATACCAAGCTCGGAGGTGTTTATAAAGATAGGTGATATTTTACTCAGCCCGCAATCTGCCTCAGTGTGGAGCGAGGGCAGCGTTTTCGCCCTTAGAATGCACTAAGTAAAAATCAGTTTTTATATTTACCTTCGATGGAATGAATGTACCTACCTCCAAACTCTGCTCGAAACGCCGTCGGCAGGATGTAATGTCTTTGCACTTTGAAACCTTCCGACTCCAAATACTGAGTTATGTAATCGTGGGCCTTGGTTTCCTCGAATCTAAGTTCCGGATTGTCCCACAGATATTGCCCAAGTTTATTCAGTAGACTGGCCTTGCCATTGATGGTATCGTTAACAATGGTGGCGTAGTTTCCTGCCTGTAAAGGGCACAAACAATTCTCCTCAGGAAACGCACGAGTATAGTTTATTCACCCGAAGGGTCCTCTCTCAAACCAGATAGCGTTCTGATAAAAATGTTATCTCGTGCCACACAAACAAAAACTGGCAGTAAGCAATTCGCATTACAGCGATGTTTCGTTAATATGGACACCTTCGTTCCTCCCAAAAAGCGTCCATAACGTGAGTTGTCTATGATAACGAGAAAAAAAAAATGAAGATATTTTTCCAGTTTGTCCCCGAAAATTGTGTCCGAACAGTCTGGTATCTCTGTTAACGGGGTACATATTTACGAGATATGAGTGTAGTTCGAGGTAAAAGTTTGTTGTGAGCATCCTTTTTCGATTTCAGTTTTATCACAAACATTGCGACATATTAAATGAAAGTCTTAGTGTTTCTCTAAAAACGCAGCAGCAGACGTAGGGCTTATCAAGAGATCATAGCTTGTGGGCAACTCGGGGGCCCAAACCGCTGGCCCAGGTTGCCCGCCTGCCAAATCGTGAGGGTTAATTTCCACCGCGAGGGGGCCACGGCCAATAGACCCTTTGCAAAAATCCCAAAAGCCCGCGCGCACCGCGCGACGAGTAATGGGAGTCCTCGGTACGCCCCTCCTTCCGCTACCACGTGACCACGTGGCATACGTGAGCAGGCGCAGGTTACCACGGCAACAAATTTTGAGCAGCCGAGTCGGGCGAGCGACGAACCAACGGCTGCCCCTTCCTCATGCCTCAGCTTTGTGCCGGCTCTGTCGTCTTCTGCGCCAACGCTTTGTCGAACCTGGTCGAAACCTGCCACAGTTGCGGTGCAAACTAAATGGGTTCGGTGACACTTCAGTACGTGAAGCTAAGTTAGAACGAATAACGTACTCAAATACGTTCGCCTGTCGCGATGCCTTTAGGCTGCCACAGATATGGTACGCCGACAACGACGTACGAGACGGCGGATGGGCGGGATGGCGGATGGCTGCAACGGCTGCTGGCGGTAGCTGCCGGGACGCGCGCGCAGTCGCGGAGGCGCAACGAGAAAGCGCGTGATCTGTACCGAGGGTTCCCAAACTTCCCTGCCGTCGTGGCGCTGTACGTTTTGCAACAGGTATATTGGCCAATCGAGGGGCGCTCCACCGCTGATAAAAAACTGTCGGAGCTGAAGCCCCTCGATGTGTTTGTGTGTGTCTCGCAAGTAGCTTCAAATGCGCCAGTGCACGAGGCCCGTGTCTCGAGCGGAAGCTTGGAAGCAAATGGCTGCGCAGCACTGAAATGAGCGGCCCTTGGAAACGAATGGCGGCGGAGCACGCGCTTGTGGCACGTGTCTTGCACGTTTCCACAACAATGGTTAGCGGTACTTGTAAAAAACGTCTTATCAAGGGACTTTATTCGGAGCGTATGCGCGGGGGCTCTTGGAATCGCGGCGCTGGCGATAACAGTATTGAATAGAGAGTTCTAGATTAGGGGCCCCAAAGCTTGGGCGCTCCAAAGATATAGCAACTCACCACTGCGCATGCCCAGAACCCAAACTCGGTTTGGGGTTTTGGGCTTGCACTGACCCCCAACGCAGAAATCGAGAAACAGCGTGGGGCCCCCAATTTCTCGGGGCCGGGTTGCGTCGCCAAATGTGGCGGCGCCCTTTCCGTTCGCATCGGAGCAAATTCGGCATGGTCGCTGCAGTATTAGCCAATTTCATTTCCAGTGAATGGTGCAACCGACTTTCGCTTTACTTTATCTCGTTCAGGTCACAAACAATGAGCGGTGGACTCTCCCCATTTTAAAGATCGTCCCTGATTCTGGCCATTCCTAAGCCTAAAGAGACGCGGTAACCGTTGGCATGGCAACGTACTGCAACTCCGTGGCTCCGAGTGCATTTCGTTCGGGGCACGATACCTGCAGCTTGAAAACAAGTATTTCGAGGCTTCAAAGTCGCTCCAGCTCAGATCTAAATCGAGTAGCTGCTCGCAAAGTATGCTCGCCCGCGTTCGTCTCAGTTTCGGCATAGTTGAAGGCCTAAATCTTCGGCGACGGACGGTCAAAGCGCATATGAAAGCCCAAGAAATCTGAGAACGAGCGCCAAATTTGAACGCGGTACGAATTGGATTGTTTGGGCTGAATACAGCCAGCAACATTTATACTTATTTTAGATTGTCTCTTGTTTTACCCGGCTTGGTTGGGATTTACCCTAACTATTATTTGTAAACAAAAAGTACTTGCTAAGCGTATATGTCTTACAATTATTAATATTATTATTTTTTGGTTATTACGCTCGCTAGCCGCATTGGCGCTGCAAGTGGAAAACGTAAGCGCGCTGCGCTGCGTTGTGAAACCCCTATTCTATAAGCCGTCGACAACAACCTTGTTTCGTTTGAGTTCCCCCCTCTCTTAGGGGAACCCAAACGTTGAGGCGCCCTTTTTTTTAAATTTTCTGATGTCTACGTGTTGTGTAACCAGTGCGTTGTGTCCTTCTCTGAGACCGGTAGCAGTGAGGGAATTCCCACAAGCTCCACATATAAAAGGACCTTATCTTCAGTTAGAACCGCTCCATAGGTTTAGAAAGGTCGCAGAACAACAACAGCTGTTCTCGAGAAGAAGGGCAAGGAGCAGAAGAATAGAGGATAAGTGTTGGTGTGGCACAGTTCGCAACAGCCATCACCATGCCGTGAAATGAGAATGAATAACTTAGGAAGCTAATAAAATTTTACACCGCAACTCGAGACAATAAAAATAGATAAAAACATACACGAACACACCGTCTCAAAATACGTAACTCCAGAGCAATCCTAGTGACATTCAATGTTTGAGACTATGGGGAAGGTGGTAAGTTGAGCGAGTGGGTATGCATTGAACATAGTAATAAACAGCGCACAGGAGACGGAGGCAACAGACAGGACAAGCGCTGACTCCAAACTCAATAACTGGAACTCAGACGAAAGGAAGAATGATGATAAAATTATAAAAAAAAATGTGTCCATGGCACAAGCGCCTACCATATAATCCAGAGCAAAGTTGATTTTTATCATTTTCATTCTTCTTTTCTTCTGGGTATACTATATTGAGCTGCGAGTCAGCGCTTGTCCTGTTTGTTTTCTTTCTTTCTTTTTCTTTTTTTTTTTTTATCCATGTCTTTGTCTCCCACTGACATCTATGACTATTTGCTGGATCGCGCTTGACCGCTCCGCGAATACGGCCATGGCCGACCATCTTTTTGATAGAGTTATATTTTCTCTAGTCACACCATAGTAGTATGGTGGAGCAATCTAGCGCCAGTTATAGATAGGGTACATGTTTTTCACCTACAGCTGAAGCGTCGCGGGACGACTTCGTGGAAATCTTGGGAACAAATAACAATTTTTCACAGAGCGTATTCCTGCGCGCCAGCATAGCCACAAAACGCTGAATACTTACCAACTGTAAGCTATTGTCTTTTCGCGATCGGGACGATTTGAACAGCGCGCCGCACAACAGGACGGCATAGTCGACCTTCCTCTGTCGCATCCACTGAGTTTTAAGAATCTGCTTTGTCGAGCGACTTCAATCAAGAACGAAATATCACCCACGGGACAGCGTACTGCACCCAAGGCTATTTTAATGGCAGCCTGCCGCAACAGCGCTGTCCGCCATATTACTATGATTGCTGGAGATAATATAACTCTACCAAAAAGATGGCCGACCGCCGTGGCGCTCCAGCAAATCGTCATACAAATCAGTGTTGTCTCCTGTGCGATATTTGCTACCACGAAACGATATGTATGCATGTCTGTTTTTGTTTTTTTTTCATATATTTCTTGCGTCGGGTCGAATTATGGAATTCGCTCACTAGCCTGCCTTCGTTTTAATATTTCGAAATTATATTATATTATAAATGTTTACCTCAGTTGGGGTGTCGATGCTGGTAGTCACGGTTTCGTTCGACATGTCTTCAGTTCAGAACAGCCTCTCTCGCCAATACCAGATTGTCTGCAAACAAAATTACTATAACCGAGGGCAAATAAGGGCACTGAGAAGACTAATTTTTGAGGGACAGAAGCCAATCATATTATTTTAAACCAGATAGTTTCTTCGTCCCATGACGCTACCTCGTTTTAAAATATTAACGCTTGCAAATAAAAAAAAATCCATAATTACTCTTCAACCAACAGCGAAATTTTGTTTCCCGTGAGTGTTCCGCTTCTAAAATAGTTCAATATTTTCCCATCCAAGTCATAAGTGAGGTCAGGGGTCAAAGTGCTGGCGGCCCGACTGACAAGGACGGAAATCGAGCACGCACGTGTCTAGAGCCGCCTCGCAGGTGCGCTCACCCATCCGTTGTAAGCATCTAGGGCAGGAAACAAAAGTAAACGGGGTTCTTTCGCGAAACGGTGAAACGGTCTGGCTATGGCTGGCAGGGTTGTAAAGTACCTAGGTACAAGTAACTGGAAATCGGTATCTAAGTACTTTTGTTGTACCTGAGGTACAAACCTAGGTACTTTCATTTCTCAGTATCTGTATCTGTATCTTAGGTACATTTTCCAGTAACTTGTAACTAAGTGAAGTTCCTTTTTACAGGTACTATCTATTCACTTCGTCAAAATCGTACAAAATACAATATAACATATAACTGAAAATAAATTATAATCACAGTCGTAAAGCAATTTAACATCACGTAGTGTTTCCACTCAATAAATCAAACTCAAAATTTGCACTTTACAAAACCGAAAATGTTTGTGAAGAAAACAAAAAACTCGGAGGACGATTCACCTTCGCCTTTAAGAGTTGAACGCGGGTTATAGGGCCCCGTTCGCATGGCCTTCTCAATCGCTTCTCATGCTCTTGAGTCACACAACGACCTCGTTCTTATGATACAACACTCCCGGCGCGATCGAAGAGCTTTTGCCAGTGCTTTGATGCCATTTCACCCCGCAAGGTATATTTATGTATTTGCTCGGCACGTGCTAACAACACTCGATGCGATAATGCCTTTACCCTGACGCAGACAGATATCGAGGCACTCTAATGACGGCAGGATCGCAGTGCCATTCCCAAGCCCTCCGTTGCCTAGTCGGTATCGTGTCTGGCTCGCAACCGAAGGGTCGTGAGTGCGGTCCTCCGTAAATTTTTCAAATTTTTCTATAAGTCAAATGAATTAGTTTATCAAGTGGGATCATTTGAAACATGCTGCGACCATTAATTCGTATGTCTTTAACCACCTTCATTCCACGCGTAACGTCACGTTTCACGTGAGCGTTGTGGGTTGATTGAAATTCCCGCGCGAAGTCATGTGGCTGTGACGTCACGACCCTATCGACCATTCAGATATTTCCCGTCACGCCACCGACATCCGACGGATTTTCCATGACACAAGCTCCTAACGCGCTCGCGTAACAATATTCTCTTCCTTCCCAAAAACGAAAGAAAAAAATGAAAGCCGTTTACAACTCCCTGTAACGCCGAATTAGTGCGCAGCTCTTGAGGAGGAGGAGGGAAGGCTACTGGGGGGGTCAAGTGACATCGGGGGGAGGGGGGTCACGTGACCTTGGGGAGGGGTGTCACGCGACCTTGTGGGAGTCACGTGACCTTGGGGTGTCACGTGACGTCGGGGGGTCACGTGACCTGGGGGTCACGTGACGATGCCGATGACGTCATCAGTGACGTCACTGATGACGTCCTCAGTGATAATGCCGATGACGATCCGGATGCCGGTGACGTCATCAGTGACGTCACTGATGACGTCATCGGTGGCGATGACGTCAACGGGGGGTCACGTGACCTCGGGGGGTATCCCCAGGTCACGTGACCCCGGGGGGGTCACGTGACCTGGGTAACCATCGTGACCCTCGTGGGGTAACCTTAGTAACCCTTGTGAGGGCAACTCTCGTGACCTTCGTGAGGGTAACTCTCGTGACCCTCGAGAGGGTAACTCTCATAACCCTCGTGACCCTCGTGAGTGTAACTCTCATAACCCTCGTGACCCTCGTGGGGTAAACTTAGTAACCCTTGTGAGGGCAACTCTCGTGACCCTCGTGAGGGTAACTCTCGTGACCCTCGAGAGGGTAACTCGCATAACCCTCGTGACCCTCGTGAGTGTAACTCTCATAACCCTCGGGACCCTCGTGAGGGTAACTCTCATAACCCTCGTAACCCTCGTGGGGTTTACGAGGGTTAGTAACCCTCGTAGCCCTCGTGAGGGTAACCGTCGTGAGATTAACCCTCGTAACCCTCGTAACCCTCACGAGGGTTACGAGGGTTACTCGCGGTTACGCCGACGGCGACGGCGACGCCGACGGCGCTCAAGCCGGGAACGGGCGCCTAAGAGCTGCGCTCTAAAACGTGAAAGCTTGAAGACTTTCGCGCATCGTTGCGTTGCGAAGGTTAGGTGCGTATGCACTCGACTCTTAGTTTCTCCGTGCTGCCGACGTCTTCAGGGCCCACCGATGGCTTCGATGGCTGGCGCTGAAGGGCAAGCCACGTCAACAAGCGAGTTTGAGCGGGACGTCGTAAACAGTGGAAGCTGTGCCCTCGGTGAGTCAATTGGAGCGTGAGAGTAAGGCATACGAGGACTCAACTCCGATGTGGACATCTGTGCACCGCCGTCACGTGCCTCGCTCCAGTGACCTTATTGGCGCCCCGGGCCCTTCTGTTTTGCCATTTGCCAACTTCTACCGAGTTGGAGGCTCCTCCGGTGGCTGTTTCTCGCCGACTGTACAGTACACCAAACTTGCTCCGACAAGAAGTCTGGACTGTTTCAAGCACATGCCGCTGCTGAAAAGCCTGTTTTAAAATTTAACACAGGGCTTCCAAGCAGTGCGGCGGTAGAGCGCGTTTTTAGCATAGGAGGAACAATTGCTACCAAACTGCGATCGAAGATGTCGGATGAACATTTCGAAGAAGTCCTGATTCTAAGGTCAAATCGAGCACTCAAGTGAAAAAGACGTCTTCGCGAATGCTCTGGTGAGCGTTTTGCCTTATTTCTCCCATTGACACCAATAAAGCACGTTTATCAAACTTGTTTTTGTGTACATCCCAGTATACAAAGGATTTAATTCCAATAATAATATGACAAATTTGTGAAAAATACTTGACGTGAAAATAAAAAGTACATTTTAAGTAACTGTACCTGTACCTAGGTACATTTTTAAGCGAGTAGCTAGATACGCACCTAGGTACATTTTCGTATGAGTAACTGTAACTGTATCTTAGGTGCATTTTTTAAGTAACTTTTACAACCCTGATGGCTGGATAGTTTTAAAGATGGCTTCCCTACAACCCCACGACCCTGACACAAACAGTAGCTGCAAACTTGCGCCATCTGTAGGCCGTCGCGTCAGCACCCGAGCTCAAATGAATGGACGAAAAATATTTGATTTTATTGTTTCATTACAAAACTACGGATATTATTGTTCTCTGTGTACCAGAAAACTAGCAAGATGACCCACCTATTTTCAAAATGTAAAGGTTATCGAATCAATATATTTACATCCTGGAACAATATTCATGATCCCATAGACCACAAGGTAAATATGAGCACAGACGTCTCGCCCCAGGGAAGAAACTTATAACATTTTAGAAAACTAAAAATAACTGCTAGTGCTTAACATGTACTATCCGTAGCTTATTCAGAAACAGCATTCTCAATCTGTCATGTAGTGCCGAGTTAGAGACGTTTGAAGTTCCTCCTTAAATGGTTTGCAATCGCGAACGAAAACTTGTTACCCAAGCAGAACTTTCGGCCTCCTAGCCCTCCAAACCGCTGAAAACCTTTTATGAGATAGCATACGCACTCCAGGGAACTAGTATTTTGATTTGAAGCTAATACCTTTAGCGGATTACGGTTATCAAAATGCGCTTTTTTTTTTTTCTTTTTTTTTCTTTTTTTTTATTCGCTGACTTTCTGGGCAGGTGCGCCTCGCGCAGAAAGCCACTGTCATCTCTTGAGAAGATCCAAATGTTACCATTTTTGTAGCTGTGTATATTATGCACTTTAATCCGAGACACACTTTTGATACCTGGAGTATTTAATTTTTTGTAAATGTTTGAACATTTTTCCTCGTGTCAGAACAAGTAATTTTGAGCTTCAGATACTAAAACCTGGAGACTTTTGGGGCAGGTGCGCTTTTCACAGGATGCCACATTTATTAATGATAAGATACAAATTGTGCCTATATTGCAGCCTGTTAGGTGCTTTAGTTTGGTCAGAGAAAGCATTTTAATATTTGGCACTCTTTTTTTCTGAAAATGGTCTTTTGTGTCGTAACATGTATTTTCTGTGCTCTGGAGAATAATACGCGCCTACTTCTGGGTAGGTGCGTCTTTCAGGGGAAGCCACAATTATCAGCTGAGAAGATACAGATGCTTCTTATTCTGTAGCCTGCAATGTGTTGTACTGCAGTCCGAGAGAGCATTTTAATTTCTGCCACGTTCTTGTTTTCGCGATACCTCTAAAATGGTTCCTTCTGTCGGAGCATATAATTTTAAGCTTCAGAGACCCAGACCCGCAGACTTTTCTTGCAGGTGCGCTTTTCATAGGAACCCACAATTATGAATAGATCAGATATAAATGCTGCCTATACTGTAGCCTGGTAGGTGGTGTACTGTGGTCCGAGAGAGCATTTTAATATCTGGTACTTTTTTTTTGTGATTTTTTTGAAAATGTTTTTTTTAGTCGGAACATGTTATTTTAAGCTTAAGAGAACACCCGCAGACTTTTGGGGCAGGTGCACTTTTCACAGGAAGCCACAATTATCACTTGAAAAGATACAGGTTCTACATATTCTTCAGCGGGGTATGTCTTGTATTGTACCAGGAAAAAAAAATAATGAATGGTTTTCGTTTGTTTTCTTGTTGTTTACAATATTGTCCCTGACGTAAAAGTCACGGTGATATTATTTTGGCCTGTAGTCATTCACAAGATAGGAAAGGCATGGAAGTCCTCTGGCAGT